AGAGCTGTATGACTGGGTAACGAAAGGAAGAACTGGACTTGTAAATCAAAGCTTTGGCTGGAGAATATTAGCTCAAGGAAAGCTGAGGATTCTCTGTAACTATGAAATTTCCCATGACAAGCCTTATGTTCTGGGTATAAACAACAAGAAACAACTCTTTTCAAGTAAACATAAATTACTGGCCTTACTTAACAAGAAGTATACCAAATATCTTGTGTCTTTTCAGGAAGAACGAGAGGCACGGGCTAAAGCTGACAAGATTAAACTTGCATTGGAGAAACTGAAGGAAGCCAAAATTAAAAAGGTGAGCCTTAAAATAGTGAAATGCTACCATAACAGCTACCAGCTAAGTATCTATTGTCATTCTTCTGAATAACAAGGTTCTTACTAAAATTGCTAGGCTTTTTCATATTTTGTCTCTAACTTGAGACATCTAAAGATATCCTTAGAGCTGTCTTGACATCTGCTTGAAGAGAAGTCTCTGGGAGAATGCTGCCTCTGAGGGACTTATTTTTAAGAGGACTTGGAAGGCTCTGCCTGGTTTTTTTTTCCAATATTGGGGCAAAGCCCACTGTTCTAATAGGTTGCTTTAGAGAAAGTGGAATGTACATAAAAATGTTGCTTACTTATGCCATGCTGATTCCAGAAGTATTAAACTTTTCTTCTACAGTGGATGTGGATTTAGGTAATCCCAGTTAAATTAATGAGGGTCTTCTTGCTAAATCTTTTCACAGCAGTGTAGGTCTACAAGGGTAATACAAATTGTTGTACACCAACAAATTAAAAAGCTTCCAGCCAGTGTATGCACAGTGTTCCAATGTGCCATGTAATTATTCCCACACATCCTAAGATAGTAATCCAGATTAACTCAACAGAAACTGCTACTCAACAGTTCAGTAACTCTGAAAAATGGATGTGAATTAAAAACAGTCATGACCTTTCAGTCTTGCTCAAATAGGAGGCGGGAAGTGCTGGAGATCAGAGCCCACAGGGCTTCCAAGAAGAACTGAAGCTTCCAGTAAATTTGAGGGTGTCCAGACATGAGATGGTTCCCACAAAACACTTTACATTCGTGTACAAATGCTTCTTCTGAGAGAAGGTGTTGGGAGGATTTCGCCAATATTGTCTTTGGAAAACTCCAGCTAAACTTTTGACTGCTCATTGGTCACCCTCTTTTCCTTGCAATGTTAGCAATTCTCCTTTGGGGAGAAAAAGGCTTTTTTTTTCCACTTTTTTTTTTTCAACCCTGAATATTTGGGACCATAGTGTAGATGTAAGGCTTAACCTTCTTGTGGCTATGTCACTGTAATGAAATTAGTGTCATTCTTCAATACTAAATTAACTAAATAATTGTCAAGAAAGCTGGTCTCTCCTTTACCAAAAGTGGAGAGCAAAAGACAGGGAGAATGATGAAAAGGAAGCTCACAGCCCTGGACTTCAGGAGAGCAGACTTTGGCTTCTTCAAAGATCTAATTGGAAGAATCCCATGGGATAAGGCCCTGGAGGGAAGAGGGGCCAAACAAAAATTGGTTACCATTCAAGGATCGCCTCCTCCAAGCTCAAGAGAGTTCCATCTCAATGAATGAAGGGCCACAAAGATGATTAAGAGACTGGAGCATCCTGTGAGGAAAGGCTGAGACAGCTGGTACTGCGTAGCCTAGAGAAGAGAAGGCTCTGGAGGGATCTTGACAATCTATAGAAACACCTGAAGGGAGGGGGCACAGAGGATGGAGCCAGGCTCTTTTCAGTGGTGCCCAGTGACAGGACCAGAGGCAATGGGCACAGATGGGAACACAAGAGGTTCCATCTGAACATCGGGAAACACTTTTTCACTGTCAGTGTGACTGAGCACCGGCACAGGTTGCCTGGAGAGCTTGTGGAGTCTCCCTCTGTGGAGATACTCAACAGCCGTCTGGACGTGGTCCTGGAAAGTGGGCTCTAGGCATCTCTAGGGAGTTGGACCAGATGACCTCCAGAGGTGCCTTCCAATCTCAACCGTTCTGTCAGTCTGTGAAGATGGAAGCTGCACGCATGTTTCTGAGCAGTCGACTATAATCAGACAGAAATACCCTTTTTTTCTCCAGACATGTAGGTTATGCATATACAACATTTCTTTTTCTCTGTCATCTGCACTATGGCTCAGTTGCTTACTTTGGAGTTGAGGATACTTAAAAGGTTTGGAATCAAAGCAAGTTCACGTTTTTTGTTACGTTTGCTTTTACTTTTCAGAGATTTTTCAGTGTAGATTTTCTCTTGGGAATCATCACGTTCTGATTATACTCGATCTTTAATAGAGGTTGTCTCTATAGTACCAAAACTTCTTATGCACACTTTTTAAATTAAGGAGCTATTTAAACAAGAGCATATGGAGAAGTTGTCCCAACTCATCAGTTTAGTTCCAGTTTCCATGTACAGATCCAGTAGACAATTTTTCTTCTGTTTTCAGTATGGAACATTTTAAGTAATTTCCTTATAATGTATTTGCAGTTCTTTATCAATTTAACTGTACACTGTTTCTAGTTTAAAAAATACTTCACATTATGAAGAAATAATGAATGTCTTGGGTTAATTTGGTCAATGTAACGAACTTATCTGTTTGGTTATTTGTTGTGTGTTGGACTACTGCCCATCTTAGTACAATATGATTTCAGGTTAGTCTGTTGGCATGGCAAGATTCTTCCATTCTTTTTCTCATTTAAAACAAAACTTTATGCATGTCTAGTTTGCTTTAAGGACACTGTCCTTTTGTACTCGGTGTCCCCATCAAGCATTTTCCTTAATTGCACATCTAGTAGATTTAGAGAAGAGATTAACTTCTGCTTTTTCTCCATAGCAATTTCACCTTTCCTGAAGTCATGCACAGGACAAGGTTCAATTTCCTTTTTTAAGAAAAGGTATTTATTTTAGTGGCAATATGATGTGAAAGCTTCCAAGCTGTTCTATTCCTTCAGCTCACTGTGGGACAGGGTGCCTTTGAATCAGTAATAACCTTCATCCTTAATCTTTCTTATCTGTGTTAGCAGATTCAGACTAGCCTTTTACTTGCTTCTGAAATTAACTGACTCTTCTGTGACTCTGTACTCAGCTTGTTGTCAAGGTGCACATGTACGATAACAGCACAAAGTCAATAATGGTGGATGAGCGTCAGGTGACACGGGATATTTTAGACAATCTCTTTGAGAAGACCCATTGCGACTGCAACGTTGACTGGTGTCTGTATGAAATGTACCCAGAGCTGCAAATTGGTAAGTGATGTACTGACAGAACATAGAGCAAACAGATATAGTGCATCCTATGCTAATGGTAATCTTGAAAAGATAATTAAGAACATTTGTCCTGCCCATGTGTCCACTGCTGCTAGAACATTGCTGTCTCTGAGCTGAGGGATACTGCAGGAGTGTACTTGGGCCATTCTTGCTGTAGAAGTGAGTCTTCCATTTGTCTGTGCTGTGAGGTGCAGAAGGCTCCTTGCCTACCACTATTTCCATTATTGTATTTTACACAAAATGAAGGGACCATGTGAGTGTCACTACGTCTGTCAAGGCAGTGACAGACCCAAACACATCAACTCTGCTCTTTGAAGAGAGGATGCAGTGCTGAAGTGCTGTTACATACTGGCCAAACAAATGTTGCAATTAAACAAGACTGACTAAGAAGCCTTTTAGTAATTTCTAATGCTTTTCACTTGTGACAGTAGTTTTCTTAAGTGTAGTTGTGAGCAGGATATTGCTCTCTGATGGGGCTGCAGCTCTGCTCTTGGTACCTTTTGATTTAGGAAGTAACTAGCCTGACCTCTGGGTCCCTAGGAAACAACTGTGCAAAATTTATGTATTGTTTGGTACAGCTTCATGAGTTTTCTTTCAAAAAGGCTTCAAGGCCTGATTAAGAATGGAGTATTCTCTAATTGTGAGTTATTTCAGAATCTTTTTATTGTCCAGGCTGCAAAGGTATTCACATCAAAAAGGAAAGGAAAATTGCCACAACTTTCTTCCAGGGTTGCATTTGACCTAGAGAAACAGGAAATTGTCAAACAGCCTTTATCATTCTCAGTTTACAGACTCCCAGCAGAGATGTAAAAATGCACAAAGAAAGTTAAATATCTATATAGCACTTTAAAAGAGCCCCAGGAATAATCATCCTGCTAAACTAAAACAAAGAAATGTAAAAGTAGCTGGAAAAAGCCTGACTGCTCATGAGCAAGGAGATGCTCATTTGTAAGAATGTGATGCTTGTAAGAATGGCAGAGACGTTAACTGCCGATTTGTTCTTTCAACTCCATTAAAATGACACATGAAGCAACATTGCTGTGTTCTTTTGTACCTGCTTATCTTAACTAAGGAAAGACTGGAAATGTCCTTAGACCCACAGACGTCACTTTGAATAATTTTAGAGTGTTTTCTTGTTTTGGGGAGTTGCTCCCTCTTGGTCTAATGTGACTTGGACAAACATTTCTGAGTGTTAGGATGACAGCATATAAACAGATTGTTTTCTGAATCTCCGTGATCATTAAAAAGAATGTACTTGTGTTTCTTCATTATCTGGATAGACATTTTGAATTCTCCAATTAAAACTGACGGCATCAGGGAGATCAGATGCTACAAACATTGGGGTTAATGGTTAGACTTTTTTTTTTTTGTGTATGTGTAAGTAAAAATTACTTGTGTTACTTTAGTCCCAGCTAATGCTAAGTGCTTTGGTTTGAGGTTAGGTTTAGTGTATTGGTATAGTAAGGAATTACTCTCATAATCAATAAAAACTATTTTAAATCCAAGATAGAAGAAGAATAGGAAAGGAAATAAATCGTTAGTTGGTTCAGGAAAAAAGGAAAAGTCTATGAACTCCTGGTGCAGAGGTCTATCAGCAGGTCCAAATCAGCTGGGAATGGAGCCTTTTTCCTTGCAGAAGGGAATTTCAATATGGATAGAATGGCATATATTCTTTCTTCTGCTTCCATTGCACAGCAACATACAGTTAGTTTTGTTCAAAATCAAAATAATGTGAGCTCTTCTTTATTCTTGTCTGTATACTTCTTGGCAGTTCTAGCTAGCTCTGTTACTATCGGCATGCTTAGCAGACAGGCTTTACTGCCCTTTTGCTTTCTGCCTGATTTTCCATGTTAGTATTCAAGAGAATAAAATTATGTTTACTTTAAGACACAAATCTGAGCAGCAAATATTTCAGGCTGAACTGAAAGTCCAAGCTAGTTTTATATCAGAAGATCAATGACAGAGTATCTTATGTGTATTGTTATTTTGGAAGATGATCATTGCAAATAAAGTAAACTACAGTTTTAGAATAATTGTGTGTTAAATATCACAAATAGACTCAGTAGTGAGATAGTGATGTAACACTGGGCTGTACATACCAGCATGTATTTTGTAATAAAGAGCAATTGCCTTATAATAGGCATCCAGATTTGACTATTTTTTGGTAATTATAGAATCACAGAATCATAGAAAAGACCCTCCTGAGGATGGTAAGGTCATACCTTTTATACAAGAAAAACCTGGTACTGGAAGGGAACAACCAAAAGTGTATGTGGCAAAAATTAGTGTTAAATTAATAGTGTTATGACCTGAGAATTGTTTTACAGCTATCCTGAACTATAAGATACTGTTTACCCTTCAAACTATTACTTGAGTTTTATATAGTGCTTTATATTTCCCGTGCATTGCAGAAATATCAGTTGCTAAATGAAAAGTGTTATGTTGCTTGTGTTGTTAAAAGTTACTATGTACACATGAATTGGCCCTGAAGCTAATCTAATTTTGTGAATTTAATTGATTCACAAAATTTAGTTTTCATAGGATATACCGAAACTTTGTCAAAAGTAACAAGAAGTGTTAAAGAAAGAGCCTACAAAATGAATGCTCTGTTATCTCCTCTTACACCAGGCCAGTCTAGGCCAGTGGAAGATGTGATCATCACAGACGACTGAAATGGGAGTACAGCTGCTCCCAGGGAACTGCCAAAATCATACTGAAAATTGGAGCTGGGTGAATTCCCTACTCCAGTACTGAATTTGTAGATAAATTTAGTTTGGATCCTTCCAAAATTATGTGTCAAATTGTGCTCAATTAATTTTCCTTCCAAAGGGGGTTTATGTGACTGTTGAACTACTCTATACAAGTAAAACCGCAGAAGAGGTCGGAGTTACCTAACCTCAGTGTACCCTGTGGCTTTCCTGGGTGGAGGATCTGAGTTCAGATCAGCTCAGGAAGGGAGAGAACTGACACTAGGTCTCCCACATCTCTGGTGAGGTTTTTAACTACAGAATTGCTAAGTGAAACGGTGTATCTTCACATCAGTTCTCAGTCTGTCTTCCTATTTCCTCTGTTTTGCTATTTTGGTTTCTAAATAAATGTTTTGAAACAAAACATTTTATTTTCAGTGCATAGAATTCTTCCTGAACTGCTGACAAAAAGCAATTATTTGTTTGTTCTAATAAGTAAAAAGACAATAAGTTTTTACTGTTGTTTTTCAATACAGTAGCCAAAGTGAGTATATAACCCCCCAATCATACTGCAAATCTTAGAAAACAAAAGCAAACAAAAGCAGAAAGCCATTGAGAGACCTGGATGTAACCATGTACTCCTACTGGGTCACTGTTAGTATCCTTTGCAGTCTTTGGGCAACAGCAGAGACGCAGGAGGGATCCAGGAGCATGCCAGAGCTACCTAAGGCACTTCGGTAGCAGATTTGCCCTTCCACATGACACTATTTTCATGTGGTTTTGCTCCCTTCTGTGCAGTGGAAAAGAGTGCTGGGCTGTCCAGTTCTGAGTGAACATCAGATAATGACATTCTTACACAGGAACTTCTGCAGCCTCAGGAATGGAGAGAGAGAGTTGGAGTGTCTTACATTACCTTTTCTCTCTCTCCAGAAAGGTTTTTTGAAGACCATGAAAATGTTGTTGAAGTGTTGTCAAGCTGGACCCGAGACACTGAGAATAAAATTCTGTTTTTGGAAAAAAGTGAAAAATATGCTTTATTTAAAAATCCCCAGGTAAGCTAACATGGTATTTGGATAAGAGTCTAAAATCATGTCATTCAGTCTGTATACTGCCAATTGCATTATTAATTTGCTTTCAGCTCTGTCAGTTTGGAATTAGAGAAAGCAAAACTTGTACTTTCAGCAAAAAACCCCTAGAATGCTGAATGCAAGGATTTGAAAATTAGTGCTTTCTGTTATTTTCTGATATTATTTTAAAGTCCTGTTTGCAGTGCTAAAAAATGAAGCATGTAGTTCTCCACTTTTACAACCTGCTGCTTAGGCACAGCTCTCAAAACTGAGGTAGGATGACCCAGCTGTGAAAACCTGGCCTTTGTCATTACTACAGTTTCTCCACTATTTCTGTTGATGAAAATCGACATTTCCTTGAAGGCCTAGTTTTTGCCAGTTGCATGTGAAAATTCATAAAGAATATACCGAGTACTACAGAGTGTTGATCTGGATTTCATTGAGACTGGGGAGAAGAATTGAGTGAACAGTAACTTTTGCACGCTAACTTTGTAAAAATAGGGTCTGCACACTGAATTGCATCATTTTTTTCAGGATAGGTGTTTACACAAATGATTTATTTCTTGTGATATGTGGTCAAAACTGTGTTTACAAACCCTAGCACATACAGTTGATGGATTCTGGGGCACTAGATCTTTTCCCCTTGTCAGCAGTCTTCTAGCTCACTGAGCATCTGGTTTGTTCCTGAAAGCAGCAAGAGAAAAATGAGCAATTCAGCATTGCCGAATAAATGAGTAAAATATATAATTTGGCAGCAAATCTCACCAAGCTGCTCATTAGGAATTTTTTTTTTTTTTTCAAATGAGCCAGTGTTTCAAATAAAACCTGCAGAGAGGAAGTTTCCTTAATTGACGTTACAGGTATCTACAGTCAGGGAAAGAAAAGTTACCCTGCATTGTACATGGATTGATGTTGCTTTTTAATATGAAACAGCAAAGCCAAGTTTGGAATAAAACATACATGATGGCTCAAGATGTCTTACTTTCTAACGCACATCAGCGTACCTAGAAGCAGAGGTTTGATTACATTTGATTCGTACAGTAGTAGTGTTATTTGGGCAGGTAGCTTAGGGCAAGGCTGTCACCCTCCCATAGGAAGTAAATCTTTGATGAAGATTATGGGCATTTTGGTTATAATGAACTTTAGAAATAAACATGACCTAAGCCAAAACCAGAAAAAGAGTGTAGCTCTGTCCTCCCATCTCAGGACACGCTGAGCTTGGCCTGGACATGTCTGCAGTCCTTGAGCTTCAGCTCCTCTCTGATAAGCTCTAAAATGAGCAGCCTAAGGAAACTGGATCAGTTGCTATCACACTATTGAAACACTTTGCCAGGAATAAAGTCTAACCATCTGTCAGGCTTAGTAAATTCAAATGTTGTGAGACAGGCAGAGCGGTACAGTCATATCAGTGATTTGTCTTTTTTGCCAGAAAATAAGCAGTATTGTACAGACAGAGCTCACACTAGATAATGAAACATGGTAAAATACATGATCTGGAGTGAGTCCCTGAAAAGGTAAACCAAGCAGAGATGCTGAGTTGGTGAGGGGTGGGGTGTATGATTACCTAACTAACTACTTACAGAAATTATGGTGTGACCAGTGGGAAACTAAAATACAGCGCTTTGATACTGTATTCTCAGTATATTCAGCCTCCTCCTCCTAGGTCAGTCAAGGTTGTCTTGTAAACTCGTTTTGTGAGTACAGAAATTGCAGAATGCTTTTTTTGACACAACCAGTGGTGGCAATGCAGCAGCAGTTGGATTCATTGTTGGTCTTATTTAGTGCTCCTTCTGTCGGAGGTTGCCTGTGGAGATATCACAGTTTTGTAACTTGCAGATACTTTTCTGGAAAAAAATAAGTCAAATTCCAAAGGTGGCCAAGTGCCTACAGTTTGTTCTTAGGCTAGTGATACAAAATTTTCATTACTGAGGTTTGACGCAATTAAATGCTTTTAAAAAATCTTATTATAAAGATGTCCAGATGCATTGCTAGAACAAGTGGACCTCTGGAGAAGGTCTGTGTTATGTGCCAATATTCACCGTTTCTTTCTGTGAACTAGCTATATACCTGGTATAGATTAAACAACAATTAATTAAACCTATTTCATTTTCTAAAGAGGAACCAAGGTTTTGAAATGCAGGATTTAGCCTCTATGTCTGTGCTAGCAACATGCTGCTCAGCTAAATGCCAGATGCTTTTTTTGAAGATGGTAATTCTTCTCATGCAGTACTCTCTAATATTTTTCTGCAGCTTTGTTTCTGAAAACAATTTTTTAAAGTATTTGGAATATGTTTTAGATCTGCAAAATCCTCAGATGTCCCTCTCTTTACAAGACAGGCAGACTTACCCTTTCTTCACCGTGATATAATTTACCCTGCAGGGAACTCACAGTATAAGATTGTTCCATGAATGGCATCAGTGACTCACATACAGAGATGGAGCATCACAAGTCTATGACTAAAGAGTGAAACAAAAATACATGTTGGTACATGTGCAAATAAAGAAAACCTTTGTAACATAGGAAAGATGATGCTTTGTCATATGGTTAAGTGATGTTGTGCTCAACTCTTGAAAGGGAAGATGGTCAAGTCTCCCCACCTTTTCAAAAAGCTCAAAGAATAATTCTCAGCTAAAAGAGACTCTAAAAAACCCAAAAATGTAGGAAGTGCTTTTACTTCATTTAAACAGGGTTATTTATAAGGGGCAGCTGAATCTAAATTCCTAACTGTAAATGTTGGTCATGCTTTTAGAGCACTATATTTGATTTTTTGCTTACAGGGATTTTGATTTCCTGTGCTTCTCTTTTGCTGATACAAACAGACAGGATAAACTCAACAGTGCAGGTGACACCACATGCATGTGGGTTTTTTTGGTTTGGGGTTTTTTTTTTCACTATTTTTGGACAGTATTTATGAAAATTAATGAAAAACTGTTCAGTGAGTACTTTATGCTTTGGCTCCCTCATATGTAAGCCAAAAGCAAGAGCTATACCCTTGAATGGAGATCCTATGCACTGAATTGACATTTTATTTCTACTGAAAAGCAAGAGTAGTAAACAGCATGAGAAGGAGGTGGAGTTATAATTTGCAATGTTGTTCTTAACCAGGGCAGCTATAGTGAGTTTCTCACTTGAGTATTTATTTTGAAGTCAGTGAAATTGGGCTAGTATCCACCAGGCAATACTTTTGTTTTTCACCACTTTGGCCACCTTTATGAATCAAGGTTTTTCTTTTGTCTCCACTATTACCCAGTGAAGGAAACATAGAAGTGTGGCAGGGAACCTGATTATTGAGTGTGCTGGCAAATGTGCAAAGAAACAGAAGTGAGAAAAGGGAAGTGTTTTTCACTGTGCTCCACTGTTTAGTAGTCTTAATTTCTCTCTCTATTAGTGTATCTCAGACCATGGTATATTTACAAGTTGAAGATGCTACTTCAATAAATATTTTTTTTTCTGCCTTGGGATTGTAACACAGAAACAGTCTTTACACATTTGAACCAATTTGCAGGTGACTTTTAATCAGCTTATTAAGTGCTTTGCAGTTCATTGCATCCTAGCTTATGTATGTCTTTCATGTGTTCTGTGTTCCTCTCTCTTTGATGATGAAGACCATCATCCTCAAGGCATGAAAAGTCAGCTGTAGTGATTTCTTCAAACATTATAAAATTAAGTAAACGGAGTTGAAAGTCTTTTTTTTTTTTTTTTTTTGAGGGCTTCAGAAGAGCTTTGCCTTTAGCTTCACTTATTTATTTATATTTGTGATCTTCAGAGCAATTATAGGTGTCTTCTAATATTTTTAATGTGCAGTTTTTTAGGGGACACATCATGATACAAGTTGCAGATATGACCATGTTCTGGTTTATTTTTTCTGCACAAACCATGCTGCATTCAGTACACCATTGCAGTGGGCTGAAATGGGATGTGAGCTGGCCAGTTCTTGCCTCCTTCTGGGTGCAGGTTGGATGAGCATAAACGGGCAGCTCATGGCACAAAGAAGATAGTTATGAGTGTGGAACAGCTGCCTTGTTAGCTGCACACTGTCTGGTCTGTGCTATTGTGGACCTTGCAGATCTTCTGGAAAAACAGTTTCAATAGCTTGAAAGGAAAAATACAACCTAAGTGGAAGGGGAAGCAGAGGGAGGATGCTGGCTTGAACACCTATTTTTTGCTGTGTACTGACAAGTAGCTGCTGTATTCCAGCTTGGATGGGGATGTGTATGAAAAAAGATTAAAGATATGAGAGAAGTGCTGTTTAATTTAGGAAATCCTTTTTTATGAATATAGAGAAATGGAACACTGATCAGAGAGTTTGGCAGTGCAGTAGGTAAGGCTACTGTTTCTACCATGATCACAAGTTTGCTTACATGCCACCAGAGGAGTTCTTTGAAACTATTGAAAACACCTTCTGTCTTCCACTGTTGGGTTATACAGTTGAGTGAGCTATAGCCTGAATTTTTTTACTTCCCTTTCCATACAAAAGGAGATCTCTCAAAAATGAGACAAGTATGATGGAATCTCCCTTTTGGGAGCAGGACAAATGTTTCACACAGGAAGGAAGAAAAAAAATTATTACAACTAGTGTTAATATTTACTTGAAATAATAGAATGTTGTGCAACATCACCTGAATTAAAATCAAGCATAGACTAGTGGTACTTTACAGTACAAAGCACAGTTAATGTAAGCTGGCTGTAAAATCTTTACAGGATTTTCTTTTGTGTGTGTGTAATTTCCTGCTAATGTAAAGCCATAGATGGATCTTCAGCTAGTTTTGTCACTATCGTGCATAAGCACAGGGGGAAATGCTGGCATTACATCTCTTAAGGGTGTCATACCTCACTAGCAGTACATATCAAAACTGCCACCGTAGCTCTGCATTAGTCTGAGTAGGGCAGAATGGCATGGGAGAGCAACTGGCTTTGTGTCAGCTTCAGCTGGTCTGGGCTGTGTAGGTACAGGGAATAATTCAGCAAAAACGCTCAACTGCTCATCTCTGCAGCAAATAACCTGAACAATGTAAACAAAGCAAACCCAATGACAAAGTGTGCCAGTGTACTTTGTTTTGTTTGTTAAAATAACTCTTTATATTTGCTTTCATATATTATCAGCCCAAGAGGGTGAACCCATCCTGTTAAGTAAGTTCGGCTCTCTATCAAGAGAAAGACATTGTCTTTTGAGCATGAGAAGTAGTTAATTCTCAAATCTGTAGACATATGCAGAGAGCTGCCCTGTAGCCACATCTTGTCCCATTAATGACCTGACATCCCACACCAAACGTGCATTTCCCTGTGGTGTCCTCAGACAGGAAAGAGTTTGTTTTATCATGACCTTTGACTACTGGACTTGGAATGACCTCTTGTGGACACATGTGGTTTGCCTCCTATAGGATGAATGCTTCTGATCAAAAATAGGAGACCACACAGTGATAAAACAAGTACAGTGTACAGTCTGTTCCCCAGGTTTTTAGCCACTGACAAATAGTAAGTACCATGTACTTCCAGATTTCAGGGCAGAGACATAAAGGAGGTAATCAGTAATAGATGAAATATGTGTTGACAGGTGAAAGATGACACTGTACATCTGCGTAACATTGGTTTAGGTGACAGAGCCCTGTTTCCGTAATGAAAAAGCTGTGTTGTTAAAGATCCAGCATGGATATCATTACAAACTTTCTCTCTTTACCATTGATTATGTCAGTGCAGGGTGGTCTGTGTTTCCGCCAGATGCCTGACTCTGAATCAGTTGTAATCAGAGGAGCTTTGTTTTCTTACTATCAGTGCACTGAAGGCTGACTGAGCCAGATGAATGCTCTCCCAACTGGTAGTAAAGCTGATGAGTCAAGCATTGTTGAGAGAGTGATAAGGTGTACTTACCTTGATGAATCTTTATTGTGTATTTTAGGGGTTGTACTATGTCTTTATAATGATCTATAGAAGGGGACTTAAAGCTTGCATGTCCCTCTGCTTTCCAAATCCATCCCAAAGTCTGGAGGCCCACCTCAGCCTAATAGCACCCACTGAGGTTTCTCTTCATACCTTCATCAGTGCTGAAATGGGTGTACCAACGTCAAGCCAGGAGTGCTGTGATAGTGCTGCCTGTCAAGAAGAGCTGTTGCACATGTATAGAGGACTTGGCTGCAGCTGCTCAGAAGAGAATATTTTTTTTCTAGTGGGATGAGTGGAGCGTTGTCACTCAGTCAGACCTATGGGTTTGGACTGCATAGGCAGGCATTGCTTTATGGGTTGTACTGAGAACACACTTCTAAGCGGGTTTTGTTTTGAGCTGGTTTGGGATTTTTCCACTATGAATACTGTCTTCAGATGTAGTCACGAAGCTGTGGTCCTTAGTATTTGCTTACCTTCATCCATGGACTAAAAATGTGCCCAGGTGGTCTGGAGCCAGCTATGTGCTGCTGCATATCCTAGAGAGCCACACTGGTGTATTTCCTAGCATAACTGCCTATTGTATTGCATGTTCAAGTTTCTTTTCTTATGTTCATACCCACAGACATGGCATCAGTGTAGGCCAAATTACAGGTGGCTGTGTTTCTGATGTCTCCTGGATGACTTAATGTGAACTTTTAAGAAAGCAGTTTTTAAAGAACTGTTTTTGAGATCAGCCACACCTCTTCCCTTTCCTCTCCTGGTGCCCCTCCAAAAACCGTCGGCTATGAGGCTTGCGTTCTGGCAGACAGCTGTTCACAGCACTGCTTGAGAAAGAAAGAAGATGTGGTTGTGTGGAAGAGCAGAGTTTCACTTCAGATAAACCTCATTGCTGTAAACATGGTATGCTGGCAGGGCAGATTTGCTGCTTGTTTGTTTCTTTCTTATACTGTATAAATTCCTTCATTTACACACTTCTCATTTGTCTTTTGGTAATGTTTGCATTTGTGTTGCAGTTTAGTAGGTATGTAAATATGTTGCCACATTCTCATCGTCTTGAGACATGAAAAAAAGGAGAGAGATGAAAAGTCAGAGAAGCTCTTACTTTTCTTTCTACAGAATTGCTGAAGAATTACAGAATTAGGAGCAATTTTTAAGTAGATAGCTTTCAAAATTTGTCGGGGTTTTATGATTTTGTCTGTTTCCGAGACAAAGGTTTGTTTGGTTGGTTTATGCCTTTTGTTCTGCAAATTTAGCTTTTTTACTAACTCTGGGGAAACCAGTAAGACTGTCCCATGCATCAGGTATTTTCCAAACCCAAGTTCCTCTTCTACATCTACTTTTGTTTAGAAAATGATAAAACATAAGAATTTTTATTGTTATTATTCTGGCCTCAAGGCCATGGATCCAAATGCTGCTACTTGATGCATGACATTGCTCCTTGATCTACCTGCTTTCTTCACGCCCAGTTGCCTTGCTGTTTGTAGGCAGCTGGGCTTTACTATCTGTCTGTGCTTGCTGTTGAGCAAAGCCACTGCAGATGCTTTGGCACACAATTCCTACCATGCTCCTGAGCTACCTTCCCACTGCCTGAATTTGCACGTATGTCCAAGTGCTGTCCTTTGGTCCATGTGTACAGTACAAATGGATTCAAAATTGGTTTTGCTACTTAACAGTGGGTGAATTTGTTTTCACTGGTAACGGTGTGCATGAGGCACTGTGCTGCTGTGTTTACAGGGGCAGACGGGCACTGGGTCCTCTGAGGGTGGCTGCAGCTTCACAGCCCTCTGTCACAGAAGTGGAGGCTTTTGTTGCAGTGGGCTGGAGCACATGTGCCAAGATATGGTGGTCATTTCTTCTGATTTCTTCTAGGTTTTTGCATACTTTCTTCACTGCATAAAAATACTTTTCAGGGCATGAGCAGGGTTTTAAAAGTAGGAAGTAGTAACTTTGGATAAAGGCTTTGGCATATAAACACTTTTATTTAAAATTAAGAGCTGACTTTGACAGATATGAAGTGTGCAAATCACAAAATTGGGTTGTTAGGAAAAATTCTTTCTAGCCTTTTGATATTGTGTTATATTTATTGTATATCAGCATGCAATAAAATGTTATGTTCTCTACTGCCTGTAATAATATAGGAAGCAGTGATAATTGGAATGATAAAACCTGTTGATCCAGAAAAACAAGCAAAAACATAAGCCAGTGTTTTTAAAGTTTTGGGAGGCTGTATATACATGAGCCAATGTAATTTTATGTTACTTTTGAATGATATTCAAAATAAAGAATTAAAACACATGAGTAGGCAGCTGTAATTAAAGTTTTCTATAAGAACAGTCCAAAAGCATCTGCCTCTTGCATCTGCTGGCTTGGTTAGTCGATATTGAAAGACTGAGTAACTATTGAATGGGTTTGTAGTGATCTAGTTACTTGTATTGTTGTCTTTATAATGAACATTAATTTCTTCTGTGTATTAATCAGAATTTCTACCTGGCAAACAAAGGGAAGAATGAAAGCAAAGAAATGAATGACAAAAACAAAGAAGCTCTACTGGAGGTAAGCCAACTTTCTAGGTTGGAGGTAAGCCAACTTTCTTGGTTGACGATTCAAATGTCATCAAAACTGCCACCATCTGCATCTGCTCTGCAACAACGGTGTTTAATTCTTTGTGTGCAAATATATAACAATAAGAAGTTCTGTGATGGTTGGTGTCTTTGTGTCTAAGGTTTGCATCTGCTGTTCACTATTAAAAATGCAGATTGTATCCCCTATCAGAGAAATCAAACAATGGAGAATTATTTTGTTGTTAGAGACCCCAATGCCACGAACCTTTTTTTACTTAATGTTTCTATGCAGAGTAATGCCATGATAACAATAAAAGCAGTGTTGTAGAAATATGAATAAAAGAAACAGCTGTGCCACTCCCTTAGGACAGCCCTTATGACTTTATATTGTTAGTATGGTTGATCAGTAGCAAACAGTTATATTTTGGGTTAGAAGTAGGTGTACTTCTCACTACCTCAAATTATGAGCTGTACTACAACAGAAAAAGAACCTTTGTACTTTTCCAGAAGGCCTGTTTAGCCTCTTACCTTTCCTGTTGAAGTTTTGCTTCAGTTGTATGTTTGCAAGAGAAAAATCCAGAGCTATATGAAAAAAAGATTATCACAGTTTTGACAAGCAGTTTGATTTTGGTGAAAGCTCACAAAGGAAATGCTGTTCTCAGGTGACTGAGGATTCCCATTTCAAAATAGTGCATCTCATGAAGGCGTCAGATGTCAACCAGCAGAAGTCCTGGTAAATTCTAAATGAAAACAGGAAGTGATAAGTGTGTTGGCATTAAAAATTACCCAACAGTAGGTCCTTTAAGCAAACAATGAAGTATATTTGTTTAAACAATGCTGTAAATGCCAGCATGTATTTCAAAGTGAAAGCAGAGACTGAGGGGGATTTTTTCTTTTGACTGTTTTTAGAGCTCTAAGCAATGTCTTACAGAAGTATTTCTCTACAGAACTTATAGATATAGCAATAGATGGAAACCAACTGCAGCAGTACCAACCATTCTGTTTTATTGCCTTCACTGAGCACATCTGTCTAGGTAAAACCTTTTGTAGATTTTTGATTGACCCTTTAGAGAATGGAGGTTTTGGGAGCTTTTTTTCCAGTGTGATCACCCAACTTGCACTGCCAAGTTACCACATTAGCTTGGAAAAGTTTCCTTTGCCTGTCTAAGGTGTTCATCTCCCTGATAACTGCATTCCCCATGTTCATATGTTCACTGTCACAGGAAATGTCTATATTTTTCAACGGAGCATTTTTCTGCTATTTATTAATACAGTTGGGCTTAAATAGATTTATTTTGTATATTATTATTCTTGTTGCACAGGAAAGCTTCTGTGGGGCATCTGTCATTGTGCCAGAGCTTGAAGGGGCCCTTTATTTAAAAGAAGATGGAAAAAAGTCCTGGAAGAGGCGTTATTTTCTTCTACGAGCTTCTGGAATTTATTATGTTCCCAGAGGAAAAACCAAGGTCAGGAAGCCAAATAATCCTTTTACCAATAAAACAATTCATGGAGGTGAAAGTGAAGAACTCCCAAGGTGACATTTTAAGAGCGCTGTCTGGTGCATCTGAGAGGGTTGGGGTTTTTTTGGTTTAACTTTAACTACACCACTTGTGCAAATATTAGAATGTAGTCACTGAATCCTGTCACGTTTCTCTCCTTTTGATTTCTACGGATAGATAAAAGCATTAATGAAATAGCACTCCTCCAGAGGTCAGTAGGGGAAAGAAAAACAGCACAGCACCCTTCAGCTGATGTTATGCTGCCAAAACGCTTCACTGTTATATGGGTTCCCTGTAGAATAATATTTTAAAAGTTCTCAAGTAAACTAACTCTTACCACAAAAAAGGTGAAATTTTATTTTGTTTGGTACTTTCTGCACCAGTAACCATCATGCAGAAATGCTCTACACTTTTTCCTACAGAAATCTTTACCCACAGAATACATTGTGCCTTTTAAAGCTTTTTAAGACTGCCCTTTGTGTAGAAAGAAGTGAGACAGAAGCATTCACCTGACCAAATCAAATGCACTGACATTCAGCATTGCAAAATATTTAGAGTCTGAATTGCCAGTACTGGAGAAGCAGAGGAGTCCTGGACATGTTGCACATAAGGGCAGCTGGCTTCTCATTTCCCCAGTGATGAGGTAGAACGGTGGCATCTGGGACTGGTGGTATTCTTTTTTTTTTTTTTTAAATTCTGAAAACCACTTCTGTTACCACTTACAGCTCTGATAATCCTTCATATTTGAAAATTCTGGTGCTGCTGATGGAGCTTTACTGTTACGATTTGTGCTGTGAAATTTAACTGTTCTGCTATTCCCTGACTAAATTACAAAGGAAAAAAATTAAAATTGATAGCTTGTAAAGGAATGCCTTGCTGCTGCTCCAGTGGCCTGTGTTTGTAACCAAATGTCAGTGAAACACAGACCTAGATTACCTTGCTGCATTCACAGCAGTTTATTTTGACTTTACCTGACCCTGATATAACGCCTTTCAGTCCTCAAATCATGTTGCACACACATAACATCCTATCAAATTAGGAACTAGAATGCTATTTGGAAGGCACTTGAGGTGTAAAGAGTATAAGAATAATCAAATGAAAAGTCCATCTTTGACATTTCCTTGTAGCTTGCCTCCAATGATGGCCAGTAGCACAGTGCCAAAGCAGGGCAAGTATATACTGGTAGTTACCCAGCCTTTTTCATCAAACAGTGATATCTGTTTCGGTGACTTTCCATCATAGTGCGAATGAGGAAAGCGCTTTCTTTTTTCAGGTGATAGACTGCAGACACAGGCTCAGGATGGAGCCATGGAGTCACCTGGTAACAGCTGTTTTAGTTTAACACTTTATTGCCTGTTAGTTGTTGCAGTCTGTGTACCACGCTGCCTATAACTGAGCCATTTTAAGGAACTGCGTGAGTGCTTCAAACTCACTATATTACCAACTCAGACACTCACAGAGACTGAGGACCTTGAATCTAGTTCTTTAGGAGGTAGTCACAGCTCTTTAGAATGGTACCACAATCAGCCATTTGCTCCTGCATCTATAACAGCCTTCAACAAAAAGATGCATATGTCCATGCCTCAGCCGTTCCAGAGAAAGTCAAATCTCTTAGCTCAGATCTGTGTTTAATGGTGATTTAAGTTAGTTACTGTACTCTCTGCTGGAACAGCTGAGGCTCAGTACATGTCTTTTGTGGAGACAGCCATCTCTGGTAGATGAGCAGGGTTCAGTGAGGGTGCTAAACATCTTAAAACACTACAGCAGAATTCAGTAGAGCTCTTCAGTCAAAATCCTTAATTATGAGAGTTCATCCCACATAAGGGTGGTATGAAGAGTGCACATGCACCTTGCTACAGTCCTTCAGTTGTGAGTAGAGTGAGTAGATCTTTCACTGAGGTACAGAAACAAACTGTTGGCAGGCATCAGTATCTTCAGCTGCTGCAACTGCTTTGAAATTCATAAGGTAATCATGTTTTCATTTGTTATAAAAAAGCAAAGAAGTCTGGCTTACCTTTGGCGCTTCATGTGAGCTGCAGAATACATTGCAAATGTGAAAATACAGGGACACGTTCAGATAATTTTACACATGTGCCTTTAGTGGTTTTTGTTGTTTGGGGGTTTTTTTTGTTAACAAACCAGGCACCAGTCAGCACTGGTGTCTTAACTTGTTTCTTCAGTGTTACACTACTTATATCTCATTCAAAAGCATGCTGTAACAGGGTCACAAAACAACATAATCATCATTGCAGATACCATTTTTAAATTTGTTTCTGTTAATTTTGTTGCTTTGTCATGTTAACATTGCAGAAATACTAGCAATAAGTGCCTTTGTCCTTTGCATAAAAATATGTTCCTTACTTAGAAGAAATAACAACTGCATTCATATTAGTCTTAATTGCCATTACCTGCTTTGTAAAGGAAAGGAACAACTCGTTATACTGCATGGATTTGATCATGTTTAGGAATTTACGGTGTTGAAAATTCCTAGGTCCACACAGTCATTGACAAAATCTCTGACATCAGCTGCAGAGGAAACACGGGAGACAGTGAAGCCCTGTCTGCATACAGTATGGAGTGTTTCCTCTCCCCACAGACCTTACTTGCAAACTCAATTCGTAAATAAACCCAGCTCAAGGGTGTATTGTATTGAAAGTATCAGTAAGAATGAGAACAACATAGAAGAACCATCATATAGGAAATATAACCCCATTCCTAGGGGTAGAGAGGATTTGTGGTTTATTTTTTTCTTTTTTTCACAATTTCCTGATTTCTCAGTTTAGCCAACAGTGACCGTGTGTCATGGTCACTTTTGCATTTCCACTCAAAGGATTGCAAAAGTTATGCTTTGTGTGCAGAATTCTGAGCTCAGAAGTGTGCCAGCAACAGAAACCCTGTTACTTTAGCAACATATTGTGAACAAGCAAATATTATGATAAACAGAAAAGGAACGATGCCAGGAAATTTGAGAAAATTCAAAGAAAAAGATTAAATGTGTGCTTATTTCCTGATGGGAGTTTGTTTGTTACATATACCAAAGAAAAACAAGCTCCCAAAGCAATTCAGAACCCCAAACCTTCTTTCTCCACTCAGAAATGTAAGGATGTGGTTGCAAGGCCTATATCTAGTGAGTTATTTCTCACTATGGTGTTCTATTTGGTCTTACTAGCCATAAGCCAAAATCTCCACACAAAGCAATAAAGCACAGGAAAACCAGAACAACAGCACAATGTTGCACTTTGTTATATATTATTCCTAATAAGTACTGACCCTCTTC